CTTATCCGAGAGGATACAACGGGAGACGGGCAAGAGAATCGTAATTCTCCGCTCCGCCCGCCGGCGATGGGCGCGGCGTTTTCTTAACTCGTGTTAACCTGTCGACTGGAGCACCGGACTTCATGTAGACCCCGTCATCGTAGACATTCATGACTATTTTCGGTTCTGAATTGCCTGTTGTCGCCATCTACTACCTGAACCATCGTCATTTGCGGACGTCGCACGCGACGCCCACCAGCGCGGTGACTTACGATTCTCCTGTCACATACTCTGGGATTGCTCTCGAAAAAAGAAGGAATGAAGGTGTCATTCAGGGTGCGGAACCCAGTCGAGTGTTTCCTATCTTGTTGACTTGACACACTGCAGCTTTACGATGGTGCACAAATGAGCCCTTACGCGAACGACCCGCTCGTGACACTACCCAAAGCGCCTCTTTCGCTGACTCCGCCGCAACACTAATGTGCTGAACCACACCAGCTTGCTGGCTTCTCGTGAAAGCACATAATGAATGACGTAGCCGCGAGTACGATGACAGTGTAATGAGTTGTACTCACATTACGTTGAGCATGTAATTCTTCCGCAACTTCACGGTAGACTGACAGTGCTAGACCGATTCGAACCTCGTGTTTTGTTAGCGTCTGGCCTTCCCCTATTTCTGCCATTATTACATCTACTATAGGGCGAATTTTACACAAAACAGGCAGAACCATTGACATTTAACCATGTCAACAGGCCAAGGAACACTCTAATCGTAAGTGATTTTTATTATTAAAGAGCGATTATGTTAATCACCGGTTTGGCTGACGCGCAGTACTGCGCGCATGGTTTAGTCTGTGATTCTGATCAATGTCAGGATTTCTGTGCTGACCCCTAATTGGCCTAATTCCATGTTTCAAAATTCGGCCCATTTCATCATATTTCCATATTTCTCCTCTTTAATGAGCAATTGCCAATGTGCTTATCAGATTTCTAAAACACAGATCATTCGTTGGCAATAGAACGGCTTAGCGGTTGAAAGGTAACAATATCGAAATCATAGTGAAATGTGCTTACATCATAATACTTCCGTTGAGCAGCTTTCACATATCCGTCTGTTGGTGGCTCTTATCATTCCCCACTGGCGAACAACTTTAAGCTTTTACTTTTTGTCGAAACTCGAGAGTTTAGCGGTCGAATCAATTCCGACTATAACACTAAAGGATAGAAACACTGAGCCTTTGCCCATTGATTCCATGGGCCACGGTGGTCAACATCAGTCGCAAGCTGAGTAAAGCTACGAACTTACTGACCCTTGTCGTACACTATATCACAACTTATCTACCACCAGCAATCTTCCCTAACCACCTCTAAATTGTTTACTGGGAGAAGTTTCCCAG